TAGGTTTTTATTGACTTTTAGAGAGAGAGAGAGAAACATTGATGAGAAACATCATCAATTGGCTGCCTCCTGCACGACCCATACTTGGGATCAATCCCTCATCCTGGGCATGTGCCCTGACAGGGAATTGGTTATGTGACTTCCTGGTTCATAGGTCGATGTTCAACCACAGAGCCATGTCGGCCGTGCCTGAGTGACTTTTAAGGGTTAAAAGGCCAGAAACAGCTTAGCTCACAGCTCACAAGTCTCTGTAATTCAGGCTTTTCTTACCACCTGAGGGCTGTGAAGTTGGTTTTCTTCTGTGCTGAAGGACACCACGTTCATTGCAGATGTCTAGGGAGGACCTGATCTGTACCCTTCTGTCCCAGGCCCAAAGGCAGCCCTGGTGAGGGAAGGAGTGAGGAATTAACATGTGTTTTGCATTTACTGCAGGCCTGGACTGCCTTAGGTGCTGGGGACACAGCTGTGAGCTAGACAGTCAGAGGTAATGCTCTTTACAGAGCTCATGACCCACTGGGAACAGAAAGCACTAGGTAAGAGTTCAAAGAGAAGCATCACCTGGTGCTGTGGTTGTGTTTCATGGGACAGTTTAACATCATCTGGGGCATCTGGGAACACATCTCCAAGTAATAATAATGATAGTAAACCCTCAGCCCTGATTCTGTGCCAGTCTTTTATGTGAGTTTACTTCTATAACCCTCATAGCAACTCTGTGACGTAGTTGGTTGCATTATTATTTCACAAATGAAACTGAGGGACAAAGATTTTTAAGTATCCTACCCAAAGTAACAAAGCTACTAGGTGGCAGAGCTGAGATTCAAACCCAAATAGTCTAGCACTGGAGTGAGGCTCTTAACCTCTACACTCTTCTATCCCTCATTTCAGCTGCAACTTGATGGATGAGTAGGTACAAGTGGTGCTTGGGGAGCTGTGTGTGAAAAAGCCCTGTGATGAGAGCCTGAGAAAAGAGAATGTGGGGTGGGGGCGGAGTCAGGTCACACAGGCCTTGCTTCAGGAGTTTGGACTTTATTCTCAGGACATCTAGGAACTCCTCAAAGGATTTTGAACGGGGAATGACATGATAGATTTGTGTGTGAAGAGACCACTGGAGAAGATTGGCAGGCAAGGTGCAGTTGTGGGGAAATCAGGTAGGCTGCTGAGGTGGTTAGAATGGGATGGTCACTGGAAATGCAGAGAAGTGGAGTCATCCATACAACAAATGTTTCTTGAGCACTTCCTGTAAGTTGTTGGGGATCTAGCAGTAACAACAGACTCTTATATAGTTACATTCTAGTGTGGAAAGACAGACTGCAAACAAATACATGTCAGACTGGTAAGTACAGTGAAGACAAAGCAGGGGAGAGGCTAACATAGGGAGTGTGCTTTTTGCAGAGGGTGGTCAGGAAAGGCCTATACAAGCAGAGACCTGGACTGTGGAAGGGAGCGAGCCAGGCTGATGTCTGTGGAAGGATGGGAGTCCCAGCAGAGGGAGTCGCACCAGCAAAGCCCAGTGAGTTCATGGAAGAACAAGGAGCAGAGTGGCCAAGGCGGACCTTGGAAGGGGATGCTGGCAGGCAAGCACTGTGGGCCATGGTAAGGACTGGGTGGATACATCCTGTGGGAGGTAGAAGTGACAGGATTTAAAGACTGAGTCAGGGAGAGAGATCTGACTACTCATGCTTTCTGGCTTAGCAAGTTAGGTAGCACCAGAGTGAGAGGGGGACAACTATGATTTTGGTTTGGGATGGACTGATGTGCCCATCATGGGAGACACTAGCAACAAAGTGGTCATTGCAGCTGTGGTAGCAGGGAGAGAACAGAGAGGAGGAAGTCTCCTCGGGTGGTGAAACCAGCATCCAGTAAAATAGAACAACCTGCAGACTGTGTCACAGAAGCTGATGGAAGAGCGTCTCAACAAGGAAAAAGTGTAAACAGTGTCCCTTGCTGTTGAGAGGGTTGAAATTTGTGGGAGTCACTGGCGAGCTGAGTGAGAGCAGTTGGAAGCCAGATTGGACTGCTTTGAGGGGTGGGAGGCAAGAGAGACAGAAAGAACATAAATCCTTGGATCCTTCTGTCCTGCAGAATAGGCGTTGTGATCCTTGTTTCATAGAGGAGGACTCAAAGTTTCAGAGCCGGTAAGTGACTGGCCAAGACCACACAGTCAGTGTTGGGGAGGAAGAATTTGCCCTCTACCCTCCTAGGTTCTTTCGGCTGGTCTAATGAGAGATTAACAAGATGAGAGGTTAACAACAGAGAAATGACCAAATTTAATTACATATGTATGTACAGGAACCCCACAAAATGTGAGAGGTTCCGAGACCAGAAAAATGAGGTATGTGTGGCATCCTGAGCCAAGGAATGTGGTAAGATGTCTTGCTTCAGAGGGGGTGAAGGTCATTCACAAGATGTTAAGAACAGATGTTCAGTAATTAGAAGTTTGCCCTGTCCTACAGAGAGATCATAAAAATTATTTCTGATTATAACTCTTATGGCCAAGGCCCCAAATTTAAATTCTTTAAGGGAGAGGTAAAAGTTTATTTTGAGTTCACAGGGTCTCAATTACCTTCAGCTCAAAATAATCCACATGCAGCTCAACCAGCGTGGCTCGGCGGTTGAGCATCAACCTACGATCCAGGACATCAGGGTTCGATTCCTGGTCAGGGCACATGCTCGGGTTGCAGGCTCAATCCCCAGCCAGGGGCATGCAGGAGGCAGCCAATTAATGACTCTCACTGATGTTTCTATCTCTCCCTCTCCCTCCCTCTTTCTGAAATCAATAAAAAATTTAAAAAATAATAATAATCCACATGCTAAAGGGGTACATCTTGGGTAGGCCTGTTCTGAGCCCACTTATCAGTGAACAGCAGAGCCAGGACTAAAATGTACCGTGTTCTCCAGCTTCCCAGCACTTGCTCACAATGTCACAAGCAGCCTTGTGTCTCCTACTTTGCTACTGACATCAACCCAGCTCCCCACCCAATCTGAATGTTCCTGGCAAAGCTTAACTGTGAAATTTTCTGATGGGAGGGAAGACAGCAGGAGAGAAAAGCCACACCATCCAAAGCCTGAGAAACAGTTGCTAATATTTTTAGTCAGCCAACCCCATTGCTTAGAGCCTGCATGAGGCTTGATAGGACCTAATCCTTTCCAGCTTTTGCTTTAGGCAGGTTCATTTTGACTCAGGTGACTGCTCGACAGTGTATGCCCAGTGTTAGATATCCTGGGGAGGTGTTCATTGCTTGAGATTGAACTGTGTAGCAAAGCAGGGATGCTTTGGGTTGCTGGGGAGGCCTGTTGACGTTCCACAACCCAAAGTTGGGATGCTCACACCCTCTTGCCACATCCCCCACACAGACAGAGAACTTACGCAGAGCAGGATCAGATCAAAGCCAACAAATTTGAAGGCACCACACCCTGGCTGGATAGCTCAGTTGGTGAGAGCTTTGTCCTGATATGCCAAAGTTGCAGGTTCACTTCCCCGTCAGGGCATATATAAGAATCAACCAATGAATGCATAAATAAGTGGAACAACAAATCGATGTTTCTCTCTCTCCTCTCTTAAAAAAAAAAATTTTTTTAAATCAAGTTTGAAGGCACCTGGTTTGTGGTTTGGGAGCCTCTGATCTGCCAACACTCATGACTAAAGTGAGAATGGGCATTAGCAAGCATTGTTCAAGCTCTTGTTACAGATGAGAAAATGGAGGCCCAGGGAAAGCTACTTGCCAAGGCATCAGACCAGTCAGCGGCAGACCCAGAGCAGGGCCCAGGTCTTCTGACTCCTAATTTAGTGCTCTTCTAGCTAAAATAAAATACAGTGACTGTTCTTGGAAGACCAGTCACTGGAATATCTTTTTAATTGAGAAAATGTTTTCCTCCTGCTTTCAAAATAATTTTTGTTCATCACGATGTCAAAAGTTTCTTATTCCCCACATGCACCAGGCCCCTCCCTGTCATCTTCCCAGACAGTACATGACTGCAGTGCAGACCCTGACCGGCCAGGCCCAAAGGAGGGCAACGCAAGAACCTGTGCTCCCTGTGCTTCTGCTCTTTGTCCCTTTGTCCTAATTAGACCCAGGACTAATATTTACCTTGCATTCTACAAACAGGAAATGGGGGAGGGAGGGGAGTAGGGCTGGGCAAGGGGCTGTGTAGAACTAGCAGGTGCTGTAGTCTGGCCTAGAGCCAACAGACAGGTAAGGGGGACATGGGGGAGGGAGGGGCCCTGCCCTGGAGACCTGGGGATTTGAACTGGCCCCTGTTCCCAACCGGGCAGCCGGTTCTGGGAGATGGGAGGTAATAGAGCAGAGGCCCAAGAGGCCCTGGCCCTGGCTCCACCTTCCAAGCAACCACTATACACAAACACCTCCACAGTCTCCCAGATGGGCAGGAGAGGAAATCAGTGGCTGAGAGGCTGGGGCAAATGTTGGCCATTCCTGCCCCCAGTGTGTCCTGGGGCAAGGCAGGCAGCACTCATCTAACACCACCCTGTCTCTTTTCTTATATCTGTGTATCATGCTCACACAAAACTTCCCATTGGTTTATATCCATATATCTACTGATTATTAAGCACTTACTATATTTCATGGGATTTAAGTTTATAATCTCTTTTACTCCTCACATCAAAATACTATTCCCATTGTAAAAATGAGGAAACTGAGGTACACAGAGATTAAAGCACCCATCACCATGTGTTAGGATTGGAAGGGGCCTTGGGAAGACCTTGTGACCCTGCTGGCCCAAGTTGGCCCATGTCTCAGGGGAGGAGGGGCTGGATGACGGTGGTTACACTGGTCTTTCCTTTGTGCCTTCCTCCCAGACCATCCATCCCTGGTCTCTGGAGGACCTGACCTCTCAGATGGTGGGGTGGACTATCTATATTCACTTGTCCTCCGGGCCCTGACCTGCTTGACCTCTTCCTCTCAGCTGATTTCTTCATGTTAGTTTAACATTAACCCAGAGGGGTCAGGACAAGCCCTGAGAGTCCCAGGAGTCGACACAGCATGGCGCACATCCGAGGGCCGTGGCTACCTGGTTGCCTGGTTTTGGTTGCCCTGTTTAGCCTTGTGCACAGCCAGCATGGTAAGGAGGGCTTGGAAGCTGGGACAGGCTGGTGGGCTGGGAGATGGGCCCATGGGCGGAGGTCCCCTTCTTGACAGAGAACACAGAGCCTGCCTCCAGGTGGGCCTCGGCCCACGGTATCCAGCCTGGGGAAGGAGTCTGATGCTCAGGGCTAGATGGATGGTGACTGCTTCTCTCTTGCAACATGGGGAGCGGGCTGGGGTGACCAGTGAAAGGAGGGAGCTAGTGGGTTACTGTTAGCAGCCTTTTGGATCCTGCTGCCACCCCAGACATCCCCTTTTGGAAGCCAACAGGGCAGGCCAGGCTTGCTTCCTGCCCCCATGATGGCCAAGACAGCCGGGCTTCCTCAGGCCACTGTCCCACGCCCCTCCTACTGCAGTGTTCCTGGCCCCTCAGCAAGCACTATCGCTGCTCCAGCGCACCCGACGTGCCAACAGTGGCATCCTGGAGGAGCTGCGCCAGGGCAACCTGGAGCGAGAGTGCCTGGAGGAGCTGTGCAACTACGAGGAGGCCTACGAGGCCTTGGAGTCCACCACTGCCACGGTGAGGGCTGGGGTCCCTCCAGGTGGGCCAGCTCTAGGACCACAATGAGGGGAGCAAGGATATCACAGCTCTTTGCTGATAGCTTAATTTCATCTCTGGGCCCCATTTCACTGGGCTGCCAAGATGAGAAACCTCACTGTTCTTGGAGGTCCCAATGCCAGGTCCCAGGTCCCAGGGCCCAGTGAGGCTCTGGGACATCAGGGGCCTCTCAGTTTTCAGACATATGACTCTGTTGGGATATCTGGAGTCCCTGGCCCCCCTGGCCTCTCAGCTTTGGTTTTTCTGCTAACTCTGTGCCACCCTTGGGGTGTGAGACTCTGGTGAGGCTGGGAGCCCTTGCAGCCTTTTCCTTCCTTGGGGCTCTGTCTGGGCCCCACTGCCAGGGCCCTACGCCCCTTCTCCTCCAGGGCAATCCCTATCAGTCTTCACTGGGGGTGGGGGAGCTCCCCTCTCCTCAAATACCCTTCTCCTCAGTGGGCTTGGGCTTTTGGAAACAAGAGTAGGGAACTCTGCCACAGACCTCCGGGAGCCTGACCCCATGTGACCAGGGTAAAGGGAAAAGGAAAGTATAAGAAGACATACCATTTACTAACAAAACAAAACAAAACAAAACAGGGTGGGTCCTGCCACAGCCTCACTCTCAGCCCTTGTTTTTCAGGATGCGTTCTGGGTCAAGTACACAGGTGAGCAGTGGGCAAGGTCTGCTTCAGGAAGGGGGTGCTGGGGACCCAGTTAGAGAATCTGGTCCATCAGTCCACCATCCCCACCCATGCCTCTTTCCTTCCATCCCATCACCTGTCCACCTTTCTGTTTCTGAATGTTGTCCCGCCCTTTCCATGAGCCCATCCTGTCCCTACCCTAATCCAAAAGGTGTTTCTGGGTCTTTTCCAGCTTGTGACTCGGTGAAGAAATCTCGAGAAAAGCTCGTTGAATGTCTGGATGGTGAGGAACTGACATGGGGGTGGTGGGACAGGATAAGAGGGGGACAGCCTGGGAGAAGAGCAGAGTAGGGGTGGACTAGGAGGTGGCCCAGCGGTGGCAGCCCCTAGCATCTGATGCTGCCTTTCCATTCCTGCCATCAAGGGTGTATCTTTGCACCTGGCTCTGTGCCTGGCAGCCAATAAGATGATTAATGTTGGAGGAACAAATGAATGAATGGATAATGAATTAATGTTTAAGGCCTCACTCTCATCGGGGCTCCTGTCCATGTCCATCTTCCCCATGTCCTCAGGGCAGAGCTCCGATGATGTCACATTCATTCTCCAAAACCTTGAGAGGCTCCCCATTGCTTCCACAATAAAACACCGCTTCTTAGCCTGGCGAACTTTGCAGGTTCTAGCCTTCACCTCCCCTTCCAGCCTTACCTCCCATTGCACCAACCATGAACCCAGACCGCCAGCTGCACCTCTTGAAACATGCCAAGATGATTCAACTTCCTAGCCTTTGCTTGCGTTGACGTCTTTCCCTGGAGCAGTCATTACAACCTGCTGAAAACCTCCTATCCTTTAAATGCCACCACCTTGCTGAGCCTTTCGAATACACTGTTAGTGTGACAATAGGCCCCATAACATGGAACTCTTTAATTACTGGTCATACCTTCATTTGTTAAATAACTTATCGACCAGACATTTCACTAAGCCCCTGCTATGTGCCAGGTACTATGTCAAGTGATGGGGGTTTTAAGAGAAACAAGGAGCTCCCAATTTCATAGGAAAACAAAAACACAAAACACCAAAGGGATTGCTGGAAAAGTTCTGTTCTAGGTGCTGAGAGAAGGGCAGAAGAAGGAGCCTTTAGTTGGCTGACAAAATCAGGGATAGCTCCCTAGAAGTAGAGCTTTACCTGGATCTGTGGGATGCACTGATGAACAAAAAGAGAGTATTCCAAGGCAAAGAAAATGGCGTGTGCAAATGCCCTGAGGCATGAGGAGCTAAAATAGCAGGACAGGTAGACCAGGGCCACATTAGGCCTTGTTCACTTGTTCATCCTGCTGGCCATGAGGAGCCACTGAATATAAGCTCCATGAGGGCAGGGACCTGCCTTGATTGGGACTGTCTTATGCATCACTGTGTCCTTAGTACCTGGCACAGTGCCTGTCAGAGGGTTGTCCCATGGTGGGCACTCAGTAAATATTTGGTGACTACTGTTAAATGGATTGGAGAACTGCTGAGTGCAGAAGAGGTACCGAGTAAATTCAGGTTGTAAGCCAGAAGAAGCTTGGACGGGGTGGGTAGCCAGAGCTTTGTTAAGTGAGAGGGGAAGCAAATCCTCAGGGTAAGAAAACTGGGCTGGGGTCTCTGCAGGTAACTGTGCCGAAGATCTGGGCATGAACTACCGAGGGAATGTGAGCTTCACCCGGTCTGGCATCGAGTGCCAGCTATGGAGGAGTCGCTACCCACATAAGCCTGAGTGAGTGATGGGCAGGCCTGTCTGCCAGCAGGCTGAGAATGGGGAGCAAGACAGGGGAACGGGGGGACACAGCCTCTTGCTGAGCAATTTCCTTTTCTAGAATCAACTCCACCACCCACCCTGAGGCAGACCTGCAGGAGAATTTCTGCCGCAACCCAGATGGCAGCACCACCGGGCCCTGGTGCTACACTTCGGACCCCACCGTGCGGAGGGAGGAGTGCAGCATCCCTGTCTGTGGTGAGCTTGGGGTGATAAGGTGGCCCATGGCCAAGGCCAAGGGTCTCCATGGGGCCTGGCAGCCTGGGACAGGAACCAAGATCTTGACTCTCTCCAAGCAGGGGTTAGTCATTTACAACATATTTGGGCCTGTTGGCCAGGGAAGTCGGGAGAGCAGAGAGAGTTGGCTTCCAGCCTCCTCCTCCCTCCCATCTTCACTTCCTTATGACCCAGGCTGTGGCTCATTCCAGATGCACCTTCCTCCTTGCTCGAGGCACTCTCCCCTTCAGGAAGCCCTCCCTAACCACTTCAGTCCACGCACCCTTTTCTGAGCATCACAGAGCAAGCCTCGTACAGTCCAGCCCTGCATGATTCTGTTGTTATTGTTTCCTGTGATGCATCAGTTAGCTATGGCCACAATAATGCTGCAAATCCCACAATATCACAACCACAAAAGCTCTTGGGCATAACCAACAAGCATTTCTTTCTTATGGGTCAGCTGGGGTGGCACTGCTCACGCATTTGTGGGGTCCATGATGTCACCTGGCCTCAGCTGGTGGCTTTGCTTCAGATGAAGGGTCCAGCTGAGCTTGGCTCCTTGTGTGGGTTGGGTCCAGGTCTGCCCCACACATACTTTGTTCTGGCGCTAAGGCTGAAAGGCACCATCTTCTGGTGGTGATGGCAGAAGCACAAAACTGTAGGCAGAAATACACAGCGTGTCTTCAGGCCTAGGCTTAGAACTGGCACAGTCAGGTCTGCCCACGTTCCCTCGGCCAGGGCAATCGCAGGGTCAAGGTTAGGAGGTGGAGACGGCTTGCCGAAGCTGCCCTGCTGCCCTGTGTAGACATCCTTAGTCATCCGGGCTACATTTCCCGTGTGCCCCTATGAAAACCCAGAATCCTTCTTGAAGAGCTTCAGGCAGTCACTACCGACAGATTACAGGTGGCCCTGTAATAGTTACAGAGGTGAAACCTGGTCACTATCTCCGGCTTGTGATATACCAGACACGAGGTTTACTGTGTTTAAATCTCTGTCAACCACCCTGCAAGAACAGCACTAGTACCCCTTTCTAGGCAAGCAAACTGAAGCTCAGAGAACCGGTTACCTGGGTCGTGCAGGAAGGAGGCTGCAAGGCAGGGACCCAGACCCCGACTGCCTGGCTCCGCGGGGTCCCACCCACTCTGGTCCCCGCCTCCTCACCCCCCAGGCAAAAGGGAGGTCACTGCAGAGCTGACCCCACGCACCAGGATCTCCACGGGGAACCCGTTGCCTTCGTCGGACCAGTGTGTTCCCGATCGTGGCCGGCATTACAACGGTCGCCTGGCGGTGACCGTGAGCGGGTCCCCCTGCCTGGCCTGGGCCAGCGAGCAGGTCAAGGCCCTGACCAAGGACCGGGGCTTCACTCCGCCGGTGCCGCTGGAGGAGAACTTCTGTCGAAACCCAGACGGCGACGAGGAGGGCGCGTGGTGCTACGTGGGCGGGAAGCCTGGCGACCTGGAGTACTGCGACCTGAACTACTGCGGTGAGGGCGCGCGGGGCCGCG